ATAGTTTGTAACTGATTCAACTGTGTGGATTCAAATCCTTGCTTTCTTATCCTTGCTTATAGATTCCAGATAAGAGGTTTTGTTGTTTTCGTATTAATTCTCATGTTAAAGTTACAACATTAAATATTAAAATACTAAATAAAAAATAAAGGACAAAATTGTAATATAAAAGACAAAATTGAGTTTTGAAAAAATAAATAAATCTAAAAGACAGTTATTTGAAATAAGGGACTGTCTTTTAAAATAAAGGACGGATGGTCACAGTGTATATTATACAGACTATTAACAATTTTTTGACATAAAATGTAAAATATTTTGTAAATTATTCAGTTTTCGGTAATCGTATGATTAATACTTTCATACACGGAATAATGAGACCAATCAATTGATGTAAAGAAAACACATAGTTGCTTTTAAAAAAAATGTGTTGCAAATTACATATCTTTTTTAAAGCACCAATGTGTTTTCTGTACATTGATTGATTGGTCTCAATATTCCGTGCATAAAAGTATTAAGGTACGATTATTGAAAACTGAATGTTTTGCAAGATATTTCACACTTTATGTCAAAAAATTGCAACTTCAAACTTTTATAAGTCAAAAAGTACTCGATGAAAAAATGTTTTATTATAGTTTTTTGGAAAGCTCTCGAGGTAAGCTACAAGAATATGTAATGAAAAATAAGGGGTTCTATTTAAAAAAATAAAACTGACCTTGAAATAACCCCTTTTCCCTCTAAATTTGACCCCTAAGTCGAAATCAAAGTCACCATTAAGTGTCTTATTTTAAGCCTCATAACTTTTGTATTTAACTTTTTTTTCATAGGACCACTATTTTCGGAGATAATTGACCATTGCCGAACTTTTGAACCACCCTGTATATAATAAAAGAAAGATGAAAATATATTTAAATAACAGTATGAAGATTTCTCAGGAAAAACAACTCACGTTTATTAGAGACGGGCTATTATTGTTTCTGTAATGTCAAGAACAGTGCCGTTGGAGGTTGTACTGCCTCCTCGATGACAGGCGACGAACGCAGGTGCACCGCACGAGCGACGGGATTTGTCCTCCCCAAGAGAGAATCCTCTTTCTCCTCGCGCCACTGCAGAGTCCTCTTTCGTGAGCTTAACGAGATGACACCGTTCCCCAAGATCCTCGGGAAAATCCCGAGCCGCGCAAAAAACATTGAACGTCGTTCAAATTTATTCATTTGGGCCTGGCCACCGTCATGTTGCACGCACGATAATCCATAACGAGTTTCAGAGATTTTATCTAACAATAAAGAAGACTGTAGAGTCTAAAGAGTATAAACGTTACAGAGATAAGCGGGAGAAAAATATTACGTAGCGAATACAATCAAACGGTTCCAATTACGAGGGTTAATAAGTAAAAAGACAAATGGCTGTAGCTCAAAAAATATTTAAATAGAAGTACGATATTTTAAAAATTTGGTAATCTGTCATCAATTAAAAATAGTTGTTTCACAATCATTTCAATATACATAAATCTATCGATCATTCAACAATAACTTTTCTAAAAGTGCTTTTGAAGAATAGTGTTCAGTGATGAGATTTTTGGGATTTTTAAGGATGTAGAACTATTTGAAATTTTTTCTCGGACGCTCAAGCAATAAGGTAAAAGTTGTATGAATCGTGTGAATTTTTACAAATGGGTTGTTGAATTCAAAAGTGACCAAAAAAGGGAATGAAAAGTTAGGCTGGAAGGTTCTGTCACATCCATCTTCCAGTTTAGATCTAACTCATCAGATTTTATTTTGTTTGGCCCCTTTAAAGAATCATTATATGGAATCAAATTTCTCACAGCAATGAAGAAGTATAAAACAAATGTATAAAACTGACTCATTGTCAGACTTCAAGACAAAGAATTCTATGTTGCAGGCAAAAACAAGAAACAGTAGAACAATAGGACAAGTATTTAATTATAGCAGGGGATTAGATCAAAAAATACATAAATTCCATTAATTTTTTTAAGCAAAAATTTATTAAAAGACAATTTCATGTTTTAAAAAATTTTTGAGGAAACTTACTAAGAATCATTAATTTATAAATTATTTTGAGAAGAAATAATTAATTCTTGAAGAACTTGGTGCAAAATACGCTGCTAAATCGACAGGACGAAAGGATTAAACCGACGAAAGATCAGGAATCTTTATTATTATATGGAATCAAATTTCTCACAGCAATAAAGAAGTACAAAATTGACTCATTGTTAGACTTCAAGACAAAGCATTTTATATTGCTGGCATAAAAAATAGCAGGGGATTAGATCGAGAAATACATAAATAAATTCCATTCATCTTTTCCGAGCAAAAAATCATTAGAAGAGAATTTCATGCTTTAAAAAAATTTTGGGAAAAAACTTGCTAAGAATCATCAAAAATAAATTATTTTGAGAAGAAGAAATAATTAATTTTTTAAGAACTTGGTGCAAAATACACTGCTAAATCGAAAGGACGATGGCGAAAGGATTAAACCGACGAAGGATCAGGAATCTTTCGATGGAAGCAGGAATATTGGCGCGAGAGAGAGAGAGAGAGAGAGAGAGAGAGAGAGAGAGAGAGAGAGAGAGAGAGCAGCGAGGAGACAGGTCTTCACGGAGCGACGTTTAACAGCATCGTAACCGACCGGGATGATTACCTCACCAGCTAGTGTAGAACTCGTCGACCTACCCTCTCTATTCGTCGGCCACCGTCGCGACGCCCATAAACGGAAGCCCCACGGCGGTACTCCAGCTGCCTCCTACCCTTTCCATCTAACCCGTCCTCGGCTTTCCACCATCGCGTGCGATGTATATCCAACCCTTTAACCACCTGAAGCAGCGGAGAAGCAGCAGCAATCTCGGGCGGTGAATGCGCAGTACCCCGAATTCAAGCAGCCGCGATAACGCTTTCGACTCTCAACTGAAGAGTCAACCGAAGAATTCTCTTGGTAAGACGGTCTTTTGAAGATAGAGGTATCTCGGATTGGACTATAGAAGAAGAGGAAGGAAAAGGGAGAAAGGGCGAGGAATAGCACAAAGAAGATAGCAACGAGGCAGGAGCGCGTGTCTTATACTCAGAAATATCTAGAACACATTTTTTTCTTCGGACAAATTTAACCACGCTCTGTTTGCCATTGTTTCTTGACATTTTTTTTCGTAAATATTGCGAACCAAGTCTATATATTAATATGAAAAGTATATAAATAATAAAATGTAATAAATTTGTAAAAAAATATTTTTTTAGATATTCTTACTTTTAAATAAATAATTTTGTTTATAAAGCATTCAAAGTCAGCTTTTTATACTTGAGAGAATATAGAACCAATTTTTTCTTTGGACAAAAAATTTTTATAGGGGTTTCTGGACCCTCGAACCCAGAGATGAGACATGTACCAAATTGTAAAGCATCACGAGAGGATTGAAAATTTATAGATGTCAATGTCCAAAACATCTGCTGATCAACGTTAAGATGTCATCAATGTTAGTGTATAATGTGTATTTATTTTGTTATCTATGCTTTCACGCTTGCAATAAACTGATGATTTTTTATTTTATAATTAAACATGGTTCCCAGAATTCTTGTTTTTGTATTCATTCTTTCCTAAAAATTTCTTTTTGTGTCCAAGGTACTTGCCTGAAAAGGTGCCTTGGATATAAAAATGATGCTTGTAGGCTGTTTTTATATCATGTCGGTTACTTGGTATGTAAGATACGCTAAATACTTTTTAGAAAGTGTATATGGGTACTTTCTGAGCGCAGTAATCACGTATTTGCTATCTTGGACAACTCTGATAATGAACCATCAAACATCGGACGAATAAATGACATCTAGGAGGTCAAAAATCCTATTTCCGGCGAGAATTGAAGATCCAATACTATTTTTTTATTGGGAAGGCACAAAAATTCTTGACTTCGAAACTAATGATCATAAAAAGTTTATTTCAGAAATGTTACAAAGAACAAAATAATGGTTTAAATTCAAATGAGGATACATAGTTACTTAACGACGCATATTTTGATATTCTAGAAGAGTTGAAAAATACTTAAAAATGTGTTTGTTTTGTTAAAAAATAATCATACACAGAGACAATCAGGTATTAAAAGTATTTTTCCTTTGACCTAGCTTATTATTAGTAATAGTCGAGGCAAGTATATTTGTTGGAAATAAGACGTCTTGTGAAGTCAAGATATAATTAACATTTTATTGCAACACATACACAAGTAAGAGAAAGATGTTCAGTATTGTTAAAATATTAGTAGTCCATTGACATCATATAAAGATTTTGACATAATTATTGTATTTCATAGACTTCGCATCTCAGAGCACACGAAATTTAACAAACACGGATTATTAAGAAAAAATTATAATTCTCGCTTTCAACCGATGAATAAATAATTTGGATTTAATAATTAGTACTAGTTTAGAACAATTGTATCTCACGTTTTAAAAAATCGACGTTTTAATACCTGACTTTATGGACTCTAACTTTTTAATAACGATGTATTTTATATACACAAAATATCGATGTGCGTTATATGTATGAATCTGGCTATCAATCATTCGTGTTTAACACAATAGTTCTTATTGACCATTATAGATGCTTACTAATTCCATTATCTATTTTTACATGATAGTGTTGAACAATTAGATTTATAAGTTCTAAGTTGTATATTTTTGTATCATTGTTTATATGCGGTTAAATTTGTACTGAAGAAGGATTTATGTTGTAATTTACGTTAATAATAAACTCTTTTTAACATACAATTATTATTTCTTGTCAGTTGGCCGTAAAGTTATTAATTATTATTTTTTTTAAATACAACTATTATTATTTATAAAATTATATGTTTTATGATTGGGACTTAATCATGTTCATCATTTTTTGATTTTTTTTGAATGAATATTACAAACCAAGTCTATACATATATTAATTAAAAGGATAATAAATAATAAAATAATAAATTTATTATAAAAAAATAATTTTTAGATATTCTCGTTCTTATAATCTAAATAAATTTTTGTTTGAAAAACGTTCGAAGGCAAGCTTTTTAAGTGCGATGCAGGGGACACTTTTATATTTTGCCGAGTCGATTCGCACGATACTCTCCTTCGCTTGGCTTCACGACGATTGACAGCAGCTTTATGGCGGCGGCTACGGTCACGCTTAACGATCGAGCCAATCGTAAAAAGCCCCGCTGGCGGTGCGAGGCACAGATAAGGTCTTCGTCATTGACAACCCTGGCGACGGAAGAAGAACGAGCTTCAAGAAGGATGGAGGATCTTATTAGATCACGTATTAATTCAAAAAATATTTGATCAAGATCCAAGAAAAATTATTATTCAAGATAAGTTATCGATCCTTTTTCATTATTCAAATATTTTAATAAATATATTACTGATTTTTTGGAAAAAAATTAAAAAAAAAATGGTAGTGATTGCGAAAGAGATAGATATACATATATACAGAAAAGGAGGAAAAGGGTGAATGGGAAAGAGATGATATGTCAAAGCAGGTTTATAACACGATCATATAACAATACTAATACACCAAAGTTGAATAATTTGATAAATATATTACTTACGAAAACAAACATTGAAAAGAAAAATCGAAATAATTTAGTAGGTTTCCATATTTATTAGTTAATCAAGATAATTATGTGAATTAGTAAAAAGAAAACGATCGATATACAAAATATCATATATAAATCATATTTTTTTATTTTACTTTTATTTTAAAAATCAATTTTTTAATCTCTCTGATTCTTTGATCAATTTTATTTAAATAAATTGTATTGTTTTAGAATGTAAAAAAGTTTGAGAATATGTGATATAAATCTTGTTGAATCAGAGGCAATGTTTAAAAATTGATTCTCTTCATTATTGTCTACAGATATATACATTTTATAATTCTCAGACTTAAACAGAAATTTTGTGAGTTATGTTGGGACACGATTACGTATCATGATTTGCTAATTGCTAATTTATGTTATATAAGTTATGCCAATTGGGCACTGACGTTCTGCCTTGCGAGAATTGAATTAATGCAATAAATTTTGGTGAATTTAGCGTATTCGTGAATTTAGTACGCGCACCCCTAAAACAAGATGTTTTTGATACGCCACCTCTCGCAATGTCAGAATCGCGTGCGTTTTGTTTACGACGCATATGCAACTATATGAAATGATGGTGCAAAATCAGACAATATTGCTGGTAAGTATGATTGTGACCGCTGATATGATGGAAGTTGAAAATTGAGATGAGAGTCAAGAGAGAGAAAGAGAGAAGGAGATAGAGGAAGGATATGAAGTGAGTACAATAACTGCTAATGAAGCATCGAAGATATCTTATGATGAGTTGATATTCCATTGATTCATGTTTATTATTATAATTCAAAGATAACTTCTGCAATTTACAATCATTATTATATAGGCTGATTCAGAATGAATGTAAAAAACTTTGACAGATTAGCAAGTTATTCTTAGTAAAAAATGTTATATGAGCATAAGTCCTCTTATCTTCAATATTTACGTAATCACAAAAGTTTTATTTTACTGCTCTCGTACAATAAATCCCATGATTTGTAGGAAATAATCTTGAGAATCAGAAACGATAGAAGATGTAAATATTATTTAATTTCACAATAAATGCTTAAAATGTGCTCCCTGAACTTGAATGCATACATTACTTTGACGATATTAAAAATATTAAATATTAAAGCTAAATCTATATATTCAAAAATATGTATACATTATATAGTATGTTTTATTTAAAATAATCTCTTAAACAATCTGCCAAAATTTTTTATTTTTGTTTTAAATCGCACTGTATATTGATATTTTATTATAAAAACACATTTTTCAATCGCTTGTTGGTATAATTTATTAACTACAGCTATAATCAACTTAAAAAAAATTAGTTATTATCTAGCCTTTTTGTATCAAGTCTCATAATACATGGAAGCGCGAAATATTTGAATAAATTTTTCAACCAAAACATATAAATTTTTATTCTTACTTTATTCTTTATGTACTTTGAACTAATGCATCTTTTGCGACTTTAGTATAGATATAAATAAAAGAAAAAAATTTACCAAGTGTGTAAAAAATTCATTCTGTCATTCAAAACTCCAAGTGTATTTTGTTTAGTTTTGGACGGAGAGACGGCCGAACTCCGATAGGTTAGCACCACACATATCTAAACATATGCACGTATACGACACATATGCGTGAAAATTTTCTGCACCGTTTTCTTATTTATTAGGGTTTTAAACTTATATCTAAAAATATACTAATACTTCTTCATTCAATTTCTAGTCGGAACCTATCTTATTTTGTACGTACAAACAGCAGAACTTTTATATTGAACAATTATTTTTTTCGACCTGACGACGAAGTCGATAAAGAAATTTAAAATTTTTTCTTGTTTTTAACATAAAATCAGTAGGTTCCCACTTTGTTTCTGTACGTGTTTTAATTGTGGAAAAGCATTTATTATTTTATTAAACCAATAAAAAGATTTCGGTGCAGAAAAATCTATAATCATCCGATCGATAAAACAGACATCCGGCATCCCCTTAACGAAATAATCGAAATAATTGAAAAAATACGAAATTCAGAATGTCGGACCATTAACGTAAGGTGCAGGTGACTAAGAAGATAAAACAAACACATACCGCGTTCATTCAAGAGAACGTTGCTCTTCTATTAGCAGACGTAACAAAGCTTCCTTTCATCGCCGCGACCGAGTCGCATAAACTTGAAAGCATCTTTCGAGCCTCGCGCGATCATTCCTCTTCCTCGTGGCTTCCGTCAAAAATCCCCGACGCGTTTCACGCGAAAACAAAGGTGGCAACGGAGATAGCTGCGGGCAGTAAGAGAAAAAAAATGAGAGCTAGTGGAAAAATCGTAGAAGTAAAAGAAAGAAAAAAAAGAATATATATATATATATAGAAAGAGAGAAAGAGAGAGAGAGAGAGAAGTTCGACGTTGAACTCGACCGACCATCCCCTCCTCATCTATAGAAGATACTCTTCGACTCTCCGTGCTCTCGTACGTGCTCGCTCTCGCCCGCAGCTTGCACTCTCGCGCGTATACGTACTCAGCCGCACACATAGACGCAGACACACAGAGACAAGCACGTACAGAAAGCCGTAGTCACCCTCCAGCAGCCCTCACCCGTCCCACCACCCCGTCTCGCCGATCCTCGCTCGGCCGGCGTGTTCCCGCCCTCTCCGTGTTTCCGCGGCCCGTTCCAACCACCCCGTTCCACCGCCGTGTCCCGCAGGGCATGTCCCTATACACCGCCGACATGCAATTGTCCGCTCTATCGCCTCTAGATCCGATCTCGCGGGGTGACGTACGCTACCGTAAAAAAATCCGTTTCTCTGATAAGACGGCGCCGATCATCGGGAATCGCGCCGTTAAATTCAAACGCGTCTGCGTTCCGCCGGTGATTTTCTAGGAATTTTTTGCGCGGGCGCCACGCGGACAGTACTTTCACCGCGGTTGGAAAATTCTCATCCCCTTTGGTGGCACGCTCCGCGGCACGCCCGGCCGTCTCTGTTATACTGCCGGCAGCGACCCGACCGTCTCCCCCTTCCTCCCTACGCCCGCGCCTTCCAACCCCAAACTCGTCCTCGCACCCGTCTCCCCTCTTCCACCCACGCTCGTCGTCCCTCCCGCCGCAACCCGTCGCGCCGCGCCACCACCCGCCATCGTCCCCTCGAGCCAGCCGAGCTAACCATCCCATCCCAATCACCCGGCTACCCACGCGCGCTACCCCCTACTACTACCCTTCGACCGCGCCACTCTGCAAGCCGCTCGTTAACCTGCTAGCGCCCCTCTAACCGCTGCTGCAAGGCCGCCACCGCCACCGCCGTCACCGTCGCCGTCGCTACCGTGGCTACTATATTTACATATCAATATTCCATGGTGTGGCAGGGTACCTGGCTGCCTGGCTGCATGCTCTCCTGATCGTAAAGTAGCGGTGGCGTGCTCCTGCGAAGCTCCCGGCTGCACCCTGCACGTCTTCCTCCTCTTCTCCCCTCCTCCCGCCAGAAGTCTCTCGAGGGATGGGATTCTGAGGAGAGAGTGTGTGTGTGTGTGTGTGTGTGTGTGTTCAGACATGAGTATTCCCGCTGAGGAGTTTGGAGACACCGGGAGTAATGATCCGACTAGCTGCGTGTTTTCGACTGACAGCATCGGGGACGACGGGGGTTCCTCGAGAACTGTTGGCCCTGAAATGGCAAAAGGATAAGTCTCGGGTTAGGTTAGGTTAGCTCGCAACTGCAATTTGGATTTTTCGAAACTGAATGTCTTTAAGAATCTTGCGTTTTTTAATTTATATAATGTTTTATTTTTTTCTTCAATGCGTTTCTCTCTATCCTTAAAACGGAGATTCCCAACGTATTTTTATTTCATCCGTATTTATATATAATTTCCTTAACACTTAATCGGATGCTGTTGGTTATAGCATTGTTTGGTTAGCTCACAGCTACAATTTGGGTTTTTCGAATTGCGTTTTTTTTATTTGTTATTTTTATTTATATATTTTATTTTTTCTTCAATACGTTTCTCTGTATCTCTAAAATGATATAGATGCCCAACGTGTTTTTATTTCATCCGTATTTGATTTCCTTAACCCTTAATCGGATGCTGTTAGTTATAGGTTAGCGTTGTTTGGTTAGCTCACAGCTACAATTTGGGTTTTTCGAATTGCGTTTTTTTATTTATATATTTTATTTTTTCTTCAATGCGTTTCTCTGTATCTCTAAAATGATATAGATGTCCAACGTGTTTTTATTTCATCCGTATTTGATTTCCTTAACCCTTAATCGGATGCTGTTAGTTATAGGTTAGCGTTGTTGGATGCGAATATTGCGCGATAAAGCGTAAAAAAACGTTCCGACTCCGCTAGCAATTATGGGGACTCAATTATATCGGCATACGCATGGAAAATATCCCCAACAATTTCCCGGCCACGTTGAAAATTACATCGATGTCCAAAACGCGAGCGTGATCGTCACCGGGCTAATAATTTCGTTTACCGGCTTCATGAAAAATTATAACCGCGCGCGACATTACGCCGTGAAGTTTCAATTGTACCGCGTCAAATGTGTGCTCTCGTGTTTCATCACCGATTTTATCACTTTGAGTTAATTCATTACCAAGAAGTAATATAGACACTTTCAATGAGAAAGGGAAATAAATAAAATTGCACTTTTCATACCCAGTCAAACACGAAAAACTCTAATTCTGTTAGTTGTTTTCAACTGACTGTAGCTCAGTAACTGTCCATTATTTAGCTTTAAGGCTATTACTCCAATATATGAAAAAAAAAAACCAGTTGATATTACCCTAATAGCATACTATATCCGAAAGACATTCAGAGAATATCCAGAGGACATTCGAACATCCTCAGGATGTTTTCTGAACTTCTTCGGGATATGCTGTTAGGGAACCGATCTATTTTACATAAGATTAGTGCAGAGTACTTTCTTATTATTTCTACAAAGCTCGCAATGTGTTTCTCGTGTCTGACCGAGATTAAAGGGTTTAAGGGTGACATGTCCGATTAACTGGACGATTCGTTCGACACGTGCTTACCATACATATGTCAATTTATTTTCGGGGTATAAATGCAGCGAACGGACGTTGAAAACCGAACCGTCGCGCCTCGAGCAATGCCGAGCAGGTGCTAATTTTAACCGTTTCCTTTAACTCGCGTATTTATAGCTGGCCGGTCTCTCTCTCTCTCTCTCTCTCTCTCTCTCTCGGGACTCTTTAAAACGTCTCGTCGGTCCATTCGTCGCGTGCGCGCGCGCGCGCGCGCGCGGAAAGCGCCCCGAATAATTTAACGGAGCACTCGGCTTCTCTCGAAACGAGGGCGCGTCATCCCCTCCACTCGTCGCGCGCGTTCACCACCATGTGGATTTTTGTTCGCTCGTTCTTGTGCGCGCGGAGAATTGACGTATATCCGTGCGGCGTAAGTCCTGAAAGTTATGTGAGACCTATAACTTCCGACAAACAAACCTTTCTCATCGGTGTCGTCGTTTTTTCTTTCCCTATTACGCGCGCGCGCACGCACTTTTTTTCAACTTTTCCTGTTATATTTTGGCTGCACTCCGTTTTAACTGCCAGATCAATATGCACATCTGATTTGAATGTATAAGTATATATATGAATAATTTTTAAGTTTTTCTTTACTATCAATACTGGTCAGTCTATTGAAACGCAGGGGGGGGCTTGTATATTGTTGTATTTAAATTAAAAAAATATATCATACATCCTATTTTAATGCTATTCGAGTGGTATCACTTAATAACTCTCTCGCTCTCTAAAATTTTAATAAGAAAGAGATTAATATATATGTATAGAATATAACATTAAAAATTTTTAAATGTTAAACAAAGTTTGAGGAGAATTTCTTTTTTTTCTTAAAATTTGATTACTTTTCTAAATAAATAAGAGAGAAATATAATGTAATTATATATCTATTTTTATATTTCACTTTATAGTATTTAATAAATTTATATATATGTAGTACTGTTCCATAATTTTCATATTATTTTATCATATTTTTTATCGTCAAGTATTCTAATTTTTTAAAATACTAATACCTTTTTTTCAATTTTTAACTGCTTTATAAAAAGTCTAAAATAAAATAAAACTTCTTTAAAAATTTCCTCGCGAAACAATAGTTAAATAACACAACCCAATAACAAAAACTTTCTCCCTTACGATTCTCTTGTAGATTTTCTTACAAAAAAATATGACTTATAATATTTCCACATTTTAATATTATTAAAACCCTCGATAGAATACCTTTTTTATATTTTCGTTCCTCTTGCCGCTTCCGGTTTTTAGTCAAAACAGAAATTCTCAATTAATCACGCGATCCGCCAATCCGCGTCTGTCGAATCGAAATCCAAGACTTTCGCGTGCAGCTTATTCGAGAAATTCCTCCCGCGCGCTTCTCCCCTCTCGAAAGGGAAGTTTCTTGACTCCGTGGGGATTCAGTGGCAGAGGCGCGTGTACCCTCAGGAGGTTTCGTGACCAGAGAACGCCGGCGTCGCCTCGCCCTCTCTCGTCGCTTACGCTGTCGCCGTCCCGCACCCTCAAGCTGACGTGACACCCCCATGCTGAGCTTGCAACGAGAATTTTGCTGCCGAGTTAACCGGATCCTGCGCGACGCCTACATTAAAGGGCGAGATGACGCTCTCCGGGAAAGTCGAGCGAATTCCTATCGACAGGCTGGGCGATTAAAAGAGAAGCGAATAATTTTATGCTGATGTCTATTCTTAGCCCTTCTCTTTTTAAATTAATCATTAAATGAAAGAAAAATTGTTAATGCGTAGCTTATATCATAAGTTTTTTTTTTTTATCAATTTTGATATACACATGTGTACATGTGTATTATGTGTGTAACGCATTAGAGTAACAAAAAAATTTTAGTTAATTTGGGTACATAAAATCCGAAAATAATTGGACGTGGATTACAATTAGATTTCTACATTAATGTAGTATACATTCTCATTTTGATACATATTTAAGTTGAGAGAGTCTCTGAAGATGTTTTCTATTAAATTAATTAATTATATATCGAACATTTAAATACACAGTGTTTACTGTTATCTAAATAAAATTATATAGATGATCATCTAGATAAAATTTTGGCGTCATCTTATTTTTAAAGATAATATCTTTCTATATAATTTTCTTACTATACGTACATATATAATCTTTCTATATAATTATATATAGATAATGAAAATATGTAATCTGCATCTTAGATGAAAAAAGTATTATTTTCATCAAAGATTATTCAGAATAATGTTCAGATTATTTGGTTTTGAGTCATAGTACGAATATTTAATTAGTAGAACTTAAGCAGTAAACGATAAAAATTTATAAATAAAAGTATGAATATATTTTTATATTTCTTTTATAATTTACATTTTTTTATAACTGTTTACATAAACGATCTTAAAAATAATATTATCTGAAAGTAATCCAGATAAATCGCCATATTATAGTAGTATATTGTATATCAAATGTATATTAAAAATTTTTAAGTATAGAGAAAAACCTTTATTTTATTTTTTACATAATATTGTCATAAAAAGGAGTATTGTATTATATAATAGTCGCTGTAAGAAGATTATACAACTATCGAATTATGATGTGCGAACTTTTATACGTGTTTCGCCAAAAGCATAGTTGGTGTTTCGCGATGGGGGTTAGGTTACGCGATATTTTTAAGAGGTCGCCACCTAGTCGCGCAAACAACGTTTGTTGCTCGCGGCGATACGTCGACGCGCATCACGAAGTCGACCGTCGTCGGAAGGATAGGAAAAGGAGGAAAACCAAACAGGATTATACGGGCGACGTGGCCGAATGAATCTAGCCGCGGGGCATTAGAATAATCAGGAAAAGTGTACTAATCGATATACCGTCGTTGCCGATGGATGTTTCATAAAATTTTTACACGATCACGAAATGTGGGATATTTTCCAGCAATGTACGTATGCACAGGTAACATTGGGTGTTTTCC